TACCGCCCCCCCCTTCTCCGCCGCCCACAACTTCCTTCGCCAACTTCTCCCCTGCATCCCTCCCTATGCACCATCAGTAACGGACGAGGGGAAGAGGGAAGGGGAAGAGGGAAGGAGTGGGGGGGGGTCAACGGTTGTGATGCCTTGTGGGCACCTGCCTGGATGAGGGGATGTATTCATGACTACAGACCCTGAAGTTCTGATCACCGTGTCATGATATTTTTAGGGGATATATTATTGATACTGCTATAGACTTGCTTGAACAGTTGCGTCTCGTCCGTTCTATGCTGATACGTATACCGATACGTTTCGTCATTGTCTCCGGTGCATTTAGGTTGGAGGACGGTGAATATCCCATCACGAGTAGCGGCAGCGAGAGCTGCCGTTACGTTTCTCTACCATCGAAACATCAAGTGGAAGGGATAACGTCTCCTATAAAGGTTATCAACTGCGAGAGTCAATCCCCTTCGACACCACTCACGCCGTCCAAGCGTAGACCGGGGCCTGCCTTCCTTCAGAGTCCGTGGAAACGGAGCGGCATCGGTGTGCCACATTTTCTTGCCTCAACTAATGTTGTCCGTCGTCTTAGTCTTGACGACATACTGAACAATGCTCTTCCTCTCAATCTACATGGCGAACCCACCGTCGACCATGGAGACGCTGTTGCTTTTCGAACTGTTGACTCGGTTGCGGAACATGACGGCGAAGAAAAGTGTCACAAGTTCGAGGGCGAACATGTGACAGACGACGGACGGTCCACTCCTCCGTCGCATGGGGTGGCGCCCATACGAAACGATAGCACTCGTGACCATCCACGGCCTCCTTCGACCGGTGGGTAAGGGAAGCGAAAATACACATACAGGAACAAGAAAAGAGGATGCAGTGATTCCTCATCCGCATCCGAGCGTAGATGCAGTCTTGAGGAGTGCGAAACGGTTTTGAAAAAAAAATGTTGCGCGACATTTGATTGTCTTTGACGGTTGACAGCGCTAGATGTTCAGAAATGTAGACGTGAGTACCGTGCACTTAGAGGTCGGGACAGTCGCAGGTGGTGGATTTCGAAATTGCAAAACTTTATCTCTCTTGTTGACAGGAAACCTTTTGTGAAGCCTATAGTGCAAATGCGTCCGATTTGCATGACCGCATGATGTCTCACTTTGGGAGTGGGGCGGAATACGTTAAAAAGGCACACAGACGACCTCGACGACAAAACGATAGATGTCGTTCACGGCCATGAAGCGCGCCCTAGGACGAACGCTAGATACGCCATTACGTGGTCAGCATTTGAAGATATAATTCTGAACG